TTTATAATGGCGCATGCAATAATTACTTATCCACAAATGCAGTCGTACGAATCAAGATCTCTGAGGGATATTCGAGACTTAAGCCTGAAAGCAAGACTTTGTAGATTAAAAGCAGTTGCAGCAGAGTTATAAAAGTTCAGACGATGGGTTGAAGTCAAATTTCTCTGTATTTTGAAATCAAAGGAATCAGAGGATTGCTGTTTGAACATGGTTACTGAATATCTTTGCAGTACAAAAACAAGAGTCTCAGATGATCTCCAGAGCTTGTTTTGGATCCAAACAAATGAAATGTCAAGCCTTGAGATGACATATGCGTGAATTTGTTTTTCTGCGTCACCTTGAGAACGGATATTCCATATTTTAGATACTGTTGCGCCAATGGAAATATGCTGCTTGAGTTGCTTGGTTTGTATGTGCCCTGAAGGAGAGTGCTTGGTCAATAATGACTCCCAGATTCCTTACAGTGTTGCTAGTGGCCATGCTAACATTATTGAGTGTGATTATCTGATCAGCGAGCACATTAATCAACATTACTGAAAAAGTGCCTGCATTGGCTAAACAGCTAGTCTCCACCGGTTGTCCCGAGGAAAAACATGTCGTAGGACGAATACAGTATCTCTAACGCATCAGTGACAGAAATCGCAGCTGTAGTATAAGTTCAACAAGAATACACAGAGGAGTGACTCATCTGTCCTTCTGATGATCTTTGGCATGCCCCAGTAGAGATAACAGCTCTACAATTGTATATTTTACCTCACATGGTATCGCCGGATGATTCGATTGGACGCTGACTTTTCAAAATACATAGTTTACCTTCTTTGTGTCACACAGAAATTCCGGAATTAGCTTCTGAAAACCTTAAGTGTTTTCTTTGCGATGGAAAAAAGTCAGTTTGTTTGTCAAATATATGCGCTGGTAGCACACAATCCTGTTACAGTGTGTTTATGTGAATAGCAGAGAGAGACACACTAGGGCGTGTGAATGTATAAATAGTAAATCCTTGCAAATCAATGTAGAAAACTGTTCTATGGAAACTTAAAATGCATGCAGCTGTACATAAAAAATGCTTACGAGGGATCCATATACAGTACATAGATAAAATAGACTTTGCGACAAAGCCATATGTTTAGTCATGCCATCTTATGCCTACACATTTAAGCTTTGTGTTCATTCTCCAAAGTCATGTTTCCAAAGTTTGTGTTCAAGGCATACAGTATATAAGTGCCATCCTTCTCATCTTGACCAGACTTATGCAAAAGCTGCCAAGGACAAGACTGTCTGGGACCTTGCCAATAAAAGCTCATCCAACGCACATAGAACGGAACTTGTGTGTCTCTCATTGTGTCATGTCTGGAGAAAGAATCCACAGGCGATAGTCAGAGCAGAGTTTAAGAACACATTTTCATTGAGTGCACACTTCCACAGCACACCGCATTTTCCCAGAAGTAGCAAAAACTTTTACAGAAATATTTAAAATCTGATTTCTTGTAGCTAAAAGGTAAAGCGTCTGCAGTATGTTTAAAATACAAACTGTCCCATTTAGGCTGCTAACTTCTTCTTTGCTAAATAGCAGAATTTTCCAACTCATTTTAATTTCAAACGGCCTGACCGAGTTATCACATGGAATCAGATCTTTTGCGTTGGATTTCTTTGAAGATGCAGAAGCCCAGAAGCATCGCCAGCTGAGCCTCTTCCAAATATGTATTGATCATTGCAGAGTGCTATAGATTTGGCGTGCTTTAAACAGCCCGCGGTATTGAATTAATCAGTGCTAAATGCAAAGTGCTGCATCAACAAAATTATTAAGGAAACAATTATGTTAACAAGTCTTTCTGCAGACGGCCTAAAACTTCATTTAAGAACAGAAAGACGTTTTTGCATGCAACACTTTGGCTTTATTCCAGTATTATTATGACAAAAGATTTAAAAGGTTATAGGAGAGAAAGGAGAGAAGCGATAACACCAGCAATTAGCAAAATGAAAGCGATCTTATAGAAGACAGAACATAAAAGAAGTGAGTGACTTTAAATGCAATTCAGTGCCTTCTGCTAGATTCAGAGAAATAAAGAGGAAGCAAAATAATTTCTTTAACAAGTGCTTTAATTCATGGCCATCTGCTTAAAATATTGAATGGTGAAAAGGTGCAGAAAGAAGTTTGAATAGATGAAAAGGGTAACACAGAAAAAGTAGTGAACTATTTTCAAGACAGTTCCAAGCTGCTTTCTCTCAAGAGGTTTTGGCAGCTTCTGTTTTTTATTGTGAGATGCTGCTGCTGCTGCTGCTGCTGCTGCTTGTGTTGGAACTCTCCGACATGAACTTTGAAATGTTTTTTATCTGACCTGGCAGTGTCAGAGAACAATGATTTATTCATTAGCTTTTGAGGGTCACGCCACAATTGGGCTGTAGAAAATACTGAGTTCGAGTGCAGAAGCAAAAGGTTTGAGGTGTTTTCCCTTTCTTCGCCCCGAAAAAAAAATACATGGATCTGGTCACAGGGAACTTAGTAGTAGGGAGAGGAGCCAAGAAATGTTCCAAAGACCCAACATGGCAATGATTTTAGATGAGGAAAATCTGCTGATAATATCACCAGTATTATCAGCAGATTTTGTAATGATAGAATATCCATCCATCCATTTTCTTCACCTGTGTCCATTTCAAGGTCGGGGGAGTCCTCAGGAAGTTGGCTGCTCTGTCAGTGACGACACAGCCTTGATCTTTCAGCGGGGGCCTTGGAAAAAGTGGGGTTGAGAGTCTTGCCCAAGGATTCAACGACAGCAGACATCAGTGGGAGTCAGTGGAGAAGATCCTGGGTTCGAATGTCATCTGGAACCGGGTCTTTCCGAGTGGAGTTTGCATCTTCTAGGTTGCATCTAGGTTTCCTCCGGGTGCTCAGGTTTCCCCTATCCCTAACATGTATAGTAGGTATATCCTCCACCTCCGGTCCTGACCAAGCCGAGCCTCAACATCTGTGGATGGATTCTCTGTTACTACGGCGACCACTGCTCCTGACGTACTGTAAGCCTTAGTGGCATCAGGATCAAATGCAGAGGATAAATTGTCCTACGGGGATTCATACAGTGCCCCTTTATTTTACCACATATTTTATAAATTTTTCCCCCGTGTTGGTTGGAGACCCCCGATGTGCCTCCTCTTTCACCATAAAAAACAAGTTTGTATCGAATGCCGCTTTCCAGGCAAGAACCAAGTACATAGTTACATAGATATCCAAGCTTTAAAAACATAGAATATATGAAATGTTCGGTGGCAAAACATATAAGGAATTTTCTTTTATTATAATTGTTTTCTAACTCAGGTCCAAGAGCCTGAGTTTGAGATGCCTGGACTAGATCAAAAGCAGGACTGAGGAGGGCATCTGGTCCGTCCATGTAAATCAGAAGCGTGTGTAGAAATGCAAAGGTCAGGAGATGGGTCTTGATAGGAGACGCGGCGTTATTAAAATAGACGTGTTAAGATTTAAGGTCACAGAAACACTTAAAAAAACTCGCAGTAGGCAAATGTCAAGAGCGTTGTCCAAATAGCACACCTCAGTGAACAAAATCAGGAAGGGAAGTCTATGGCCTGTGGAGACAGACTGGAGAAACTCAGTTAAGTAGGAAAAACAACCACTTTAATTTGCATCTGTGGCTGTTGTTAGTAATATTTATGTGTACAATGATTGCGCTGGCATTTAGAGTTCATCCAGAGTATAATTAATTAACATGATTACCGCAACACACTAAGAAATAATAAGGCAGTTTAATAACAACAGTAAGAATACATACCAGTTTTACATACAAGTCTCTGTTGAGTTTTTCAATTCATTTCAATTTATTCTTGTATAGCGCTAAACCACAACAGTAGTTATTTCGGAGGTCTTTACATAACCATTGAATTCCCCGACACGGATCAGAAACACAAGATTTAAAACACATTGGTATTAGTCCATAAGGGCCAGATGATGAATGTGATACATGTCTATTTTTGCCATAAACTTGTCTTTGAACACATGTTGTCATAATTAACTGGACTAACTCACTTTTTGACTTTGAAGCAGCAGTTTCATATGTAAGCGTCATATGTCTCTCTTTCTGCTCCCCTCCCCGCACCCACTAAGTTGTTTACGGAGCTGGATACGCCTCTTGTTTGGGCCCAAAAACAAATTGAAATGTTGCAGTTATTTTTTGTTGCTCATTGGATTGCATGCCCCAGTGCTAAAGTAGTCTCATCAACGGCGCTTCCTGGGTGCCTCTCTCCCGGTGCCTCGCTCCCGGTCCTTCCAGTCTCTTTCCGTTCATGTAGGGTCTTTCTTTTGGATGGCTGTTTTGCTGTAAGAGCAGAAACAGGAAGCACAGACACAGAGAGTTTCAGGTTCGCCTCCTCCAATGATGTCCGCCTACCTCAGCTGTCTTCTCGAGAAAGTGGGGGCCAGTGGCCCGCTGTGATTGGTCAAAATCTGGTCCCAAAATAAATTCTCCTCTGCGTTGCTGCGAAAACTTGATCTAAAATACAATTAGACTCAGTGCAAACCAGCGCCACTTATTCTTCAAAAGGACGTGTATCTCAACGTACTGCATAATGAATACAAAAATATATTGAAGTAATCCAGCTTTAAGTATTGTACGTTCCTAAAAACAAACATGTCACAATGCGCTGACAGTAAACGGCCATCTAGAAGTGAAAGGCTGATCCTTTTTTATAATCTATTAATTTGAGCATCTGTTAAAACACATGCAAGACATTCAATTCTAATACTCACTCTCTCACTCTCTCTGTCGGTTTAAATTCGGGCCAGAGAAAATGTCCTCGTAGCTCTCTCCAGCCTCTCTTTCTGATCTCTCTGTGGTCGCTCCCTGATCTCTTTTTCTCTTAACATCAGTCTCTTTCTCTCTCTCTTTCTCTCTCTCTCTCGGCCTAAATTCGGGCCTGAGAAAATGTCCTCTTGGCGACTCTTGGTCTGTGACGCGGTGCAGGGTTAATCGCTGGTAATTGTTCCTCTGGAGATGGGCGCGCTGCAGCTGGAGCTTGCGGCGGCTTTGGGTGTGCTCCCGGTGTTGGACCCGCGGGACGTGATTAGCACCCAGACCAGAAGAAGGCTGGACACACTCTCCTCGCGCTGTGATCACGGGCCTCGCACTCATTTGCAATCAGGCCGCAGAGCGCGTTCTGTCCAGGTTCAAACCCGGCTCACCATCTGCTGGAGCGCAGGAGGTCAGGATACAAACCACCAGGACACCGGTTACCAATGGTTACGGGGATTTAGTGGTTGGTAATAACCCAAATGCAATCCAATCAACATGTATACTGTATTCTCCTTCATACGTTTAAAGCTGGGGCACCAACTTTCAGCACTTCCCCCCATATTTCTCACTAAGAAAGAAGGAAGTTTACATCGTTGACATGTTAGTTCCATACAGTATGGACCAACTCTAAGGAGCACAGGAACTGGTCTCCTGCTGGGACTCTGAGGAGCACAGGGACAGGCCTCCTGCTGGGATCAGGACTAAACATGGGGAGGCAGCAGTTTAGATTTATGCAGCTAAAATCTGGAACAATCTTCCTTAAAATATGAGATGGGTTTCTTCTATGACAGTCCTCTTTAGGATTAAGGATTGTATCTTCACTCTTTTTACTGTACTCTGATCATTTATGAATGTTTTGTGTGATTGTTTCTATCTTGTTTTGTTCAGCACTTTTGAGTTGCATTGAGTATGAACTGTGTTATACAAATAAACTTGCCTTTCTATTGTCTAACCTATTCCAATCTGGCCCATCGCAAGCCCTTATGGGAAGTAATGTTTAGGATGTATACTGCAGTCTCTAACTCTCAGTCAGAAAACTTAATATAGCAACACCCAAATAACTCATTCTAGGAAGAAAAAGCCATCTCGTACAATGGTTGCTTAGCGCCGACCTGGTTTTTTAAATGATCAGTACATTGTGACACTTGTTCTCATAGATGTGGAGGCTGCAGCGTGATCAGAATCATAAGTGATAGAACGAACAGCAGATGGAGGGGTCTGAAGAGGATGCACGATTCAGATTTCACACTTCCACCGAGAAGAAAAAAATAAAATAAAAACGGGTTCAAAACAACATGTGCAGGCTTCGCTACAGCCAGTCACAAACAGGTAATATGCTTCTCAGAATAGATGAAGGGCAGATAAAGCAGCGGGAGTCCGGAGGAAGATGTGATGACGTAAGGATGGCTATGTGGCTGAGCTTTCACCCCACGATCTGAATAATTCTGTCGACGGAAAAGCCGCTTTCACACCAGCAAAAAGAATCATTTGAACGAATTTGCAGGTTTGTAATTTATGTAGCGCTGAATTATGCATTGGAGTAATAACAAGCAAGCCGGAGAGAGGGTTTCATCATTTTGTTTGAGGTGCATATTAGGAACATCTCATCCTGTCTCAGGGGCTGTGGAATATGGCTATCCTGTTATTCAATCAGAATTCAATGTAATGTATTTTTGTTTAGTCCTAAATCACATGTGGATATCTTGAAGGACAGACCAGAGAATCAAACCGTTCCATGTCCATAAATGTTGATAAAATCCACAAATATTGTTGAATGTTGTGTGTCCTGGATCATCACCGTTGTCCTTTGACCCCTGGGTGTTGCTTCTTGAACCTGTCTCCGCATGGACAAGAGGCCACCCGCGGTACTGCACTTTAAATCCACATGAGCTGTAGGGGAAATTTTCCCATGGAACTCCATGTTAACTAAAACAGCTCGTCCTCAGCTGACAAGTATACAGCTTTCACAAAGGTCGAAAAGCTGTGGGGATTTTTGTGTCCCTTGTCATCCTGCTCTTTTTTCTTCTGAAACCCTTTAGTTTTCAAAATTTTTTGCACGTTTGTCTTCCTGAAATTTGGGACGGACTCCTCTCTGACAATGTTAAAATCCAGGTTCAATAAAGTTTATATAGCTGTGCATTCAACCCACAGATTTTATCTTTGCTCTTTTAAGTGTCAAAATTGAAATGAAAATTTTGCGTTGAACTTCTTGGAATCTTATTGGTTTGAGTGGGAGCAGTCAAAATGTACGATCTGTTCTAGTAGTTTCATACTTTTGGGAGTAATTAAAGGGTCTATAATTGCCCAAAAAGCCTTGTATTTTCTCTCATTCCTTAAGCCGTAATTTTTAGGCCCGAGCCCCGAACGGGGAAAGGGCCTATTGTTTTTACTCGAGAGATGTCAAATTCTGCACTTTGAGCCTTAATTTGACCCCCTGACCATACATGAAGAGTTGTAAAATTTTGCCCAAACATCAGACCTGGTGAAAAATTTGATATTTTGGTGTTTATTTTTATGGGACAAAAAAAAATGCCAGAACAGCGCCATCTACAACAGCCAAAATAATACCCCTATGGGACTTTTGGAGATCAAGTTTCTGAAATTCGGTACACATGTTCCTCAAGTCAAGACATGAAAAAATGTTATTATGGCTCCGCCCTCTGACAAACAGGAAGCCCATAAATTTCACTGTAAAATGGAAAAATGAACAGCAATAATTTTCATACATGTCGGTTGGAAATCTCCTCCTCGGCTGTTTCACTGATTTGCCTCAAAATCGCTCCACATCTTCTCAACACATGTACATTCAAAATGACCAAAGGGATTTTTGATCAGTGAAACGTTGTTCGAGCCGCGGAGCGGCAAAATGTGAGTTTTTTTGGCCGTTTTTGACAATATTAAATTTGCTCCCGTTTGCACATACAAAGTCTGATTTTCACAAAACTTTAAATCACAAATAAACTGAATCACAATCAGTTCTTTATCCAGACACACACTCAGTTTGTGTTGGTTGACTTTGAAATAAACCACAAACCACACGTTGGATGTCTTTATTTATTTTTATTTTGTTTTTTTGTATTGGTGAGGGGGTGGGGATGGGGGATGACCATTGTAGACCATTTTCAAGACAACTTCCACTTCTGTTTAAAGTCTATTCCTGTTTTGTCTTAACATCTCAAGATCAACGGCGACCAAAGATCAAACTCAAGTCTCTGGAGCCAGATCCTTTCAATGGCAAGAAAACTAATTTTGTAGCCATTGTTAGCGATTCTGTTGCATTTATAAAGTGCCGGTCATGACACCAAAGTGCTACTTCTACCTCCTATTTCATGAATTTCGCCACACTAATCATTCATTCCATACGCGGTAGTGGTGAGCTACTAGCCACAGCTGCCCTGGGGCAATCTGCTGCAAGTGAGGCTGCCAAAGAGGCCCCTCCTACCACCACCTGCCATTCACACACACACAACATTCACACAAGGCAAAGTGGGTGAAGTGGCTTGCACAAGGACAAAACAACGAGTTTACAGCCGCCCTACTGTAGCACCTGGTGGGAATATCAGGTCTCCCATCAAAGCGGTGGCCAGGCCTCACACGAGGAGACCAGGCCCAATATGTGCTAGCTGTTAGCTTTAGCATCATGACACTGAATCTACCGGTTTTAGTGATTTTTGATTTCAAAGGTCGGCCAAATGTTGGTGTTCCCTGTGATATTGAGATCTTTTGAATCTCTTTGTTGAAGTTGAAGTGACCTTGAATCTATGTTGTCTTTTTGGGGATTTTTTTTTGGGTTATTGGTGTCTTATTAACACCTGGGCAAGTCTTTGTCCTGTTCAGAGGCATGTACATCTTTCAGCTGCAGTTCCATAATGTTAGCCTCAAGGTGTTTTATCTTCACAGCTTCATCTGTCTTTGCCTCCTAGATTTGATGGTGTAATAACTCGCGGCCTTGAATGTGCTTCTTGGCTGATTCGTCCAGGTCACTTATAAGCCTACATGGGGTTTCCTCCTGTTTTTGATGCTTTTCTCTTCTTCTTTCCTTCAATCAGTGCTGTCAGCTCCCAATATTTGTTCTCATCTCTCTTGCCACTCTCTCTAACTTTCTTCTTTCCTTTTCAGATGATTCCAAGGATGGTCTTCAGCTCTGGATCTCTTACAGGTGGCTTTGCTTAATAGTTTTCAGTGTCTGTATATTCTTCCTCCCACTCTTCTGTGGTCTCGTGGTCGTCTTCATACTCATCATAATCCTCATACTCCTCTTCATCGCAGACATCACTTTGCCCTGACAACTGTCTATTCTCAGCTTTGAGTTCTGCGATGTACGCCTCCATCTGGGCAATAAAAGAGCTTTTCTGGTCGGAGTTGGTGCGACACTCTATCAACCTTTTCTGGGTTCTGGCCAGCTGCTCCTTCTCCTTCTGCTTGCTTTCTTCAAGTTTGCTGATTGCCTTGTCTTTCAATTCAATCTTCTTCTGCAGCTTTTGGATTGTCTGATCTGAGGTCCTCCTGGCCTCCTTCACAGCCTCTTCCACCTCTTTCATGGACTTATTCCGTGCCAGGAGAGGTCTTTTCTCTGACGCAGCGTGTACGTTTTTCAGCTGAGTTTCCAGATCGAGAATTCTTGTCTTGAGCTCACTGTTCTCTGCTTTGACTTTTGCGTTTTCTGCCTCCATCGCAGCAATGATAGAGTTTTTCCTGAGGAAATCCGTGCTATTCTCCTTCAACTTTTTCTGGGTCTTGGCCAGCTGCTCCTTGACCTTCTCCTTCTCGTTTTCAATCAGTTTGCTGATAGTCTGAAGCTTTGTTTTCTCAGCTTTGACTTTGGCGTTTTCGGCCTCCATTGCAGCAATGACAGAATTTTTCATGACGACATTTGCACTGTACTCCTCTAGCTCTTTCTTGGTCTTGGCCAGCATTGTCTTTAACTGAGCAGCTTCTGTCCCCAGTTTTTTCTCTTGCTCCTGCATCTGGGTCTTCAGCTTGTCTATGGTGCTGTTGGCATCCAGTATTTGAGCGTTCAACAAGTTCATTGCCTCCTGGTTTCTGTCAAAAATCTCCTGTTTTTCGTCTTGGTGCTCGGTGACGATTGACATATACCGCTTGGCTTTTTCTGCATTTGCGTCTTTCAAGGCCTGAATCTCCTCGTGAGCCTTCTGCAGTTGTCCTGTCCTTTCACTCAGAGTCTCTTGGAGAACTGTTTTCTCCTGAACAGTATTCTCCTGTTGGCGTTGGGCAGTAGTGGAGCTCTCTGAAGCTTGCTGTAGAGCCGCCTCTAAGGCAGACTGGAGCTGACTCACTTGCTGCTGCTGTAGTCTACTCTCTTCCTGTTGAGTCTTCTCCAGCTCGCCCTTCTGTTGTTTCTCCCTCTTCAGATCCTCAACCACAATCAGGTGTCGTTCCTCCAACTCCATCACGTAGTGTTCAAGCTTTTCTATAAGCTTGTCTTTTTTAGATCTTCTTCTGAAGCACGACATTTTGCTCAGTTCTGTTTATCGCGGTTAAATCCTCGGTCCGTACTGTCTTTTTAACTCCAACGTATGAATTCTTGTCTGGGACTGTCTCCACGCTCAAACATTCACACAGTAGACTTGGATCTTTGATGATGTCATTTGGAACATTATGTCATGTTCCCGTGACGACAGCTACATTCCTTTGGTTCTGGAATGCTGGAGGTTTGGTTACCGTGGCAATCATGATCCTTATCCTTACTTTAAATAAAATGTATTATTGAGGAAACAAAATAAATAAATGTGTTTTGCAACAACCCCTGGGGTCGGGGCCCGTATGCGAGCGCCTGGTGGCCGGGCCTTAGTCCACGGGGCCCGGCCGGGCTCAGCCCGAAGGGATGACGTGGGCAGTCCCTCCTGTGGGCCCACCACCTGCAGAGGGGTCCGTGGTGAAGCGGTGCTGAGAGGACTGGGCGGCAGTCGAAGGCGGAGACCTTGGGACGTGGAACGTCACCTCACTGATTGAGGGAAGAATGGAGCGTGAGATTGACAGGCGGATCGGTGCAGCGTGCGCAGTTATGCGGTCGCTGTATCGGACCGTTGTGGTGAAGAGGGAGCTGAGCCGAAAGGCAAAGCTCAATCTTTGTTCCCTCCCTCACCTATGGTCATGAGCTTTGGGTAATGACCGAAAGAACGAGATCGCGGATACAAGCGGTCGAAATGAGCTTCCTCCGCAGAGTGGCTGGGCGCTCCCTTAGAGATAGGGTGAGGAGCTCAGTCACACGGGAGGAGCTCGGAGTAGAACCGCTGCTTCTCCACGTCGAGAGGAACCAGTTGAGGTGGCTCGGGCATCTGTTCCGGATGCCTCCTGGACGCCTCCCTGGGGAGGTGTTCCGGGCACGTCCCACCGGGAGGAGGCCCCGCGGAAGACCCAGGACACGCTGGAGGGACTATGTCTCTCAGCTGGCCTGGGAACGCCTTGGGGTCCCCCCGGACGAGCTGGAGGAAGTGTGTGTGGATAGGGAAGTCTGGGCGTCTCTGCTTAGACTGCTGCCCCCGCGACCCGGCAACGGATAAAGCGGAAGAAAATGGATGGATGGATGGATGGTGTTTTGCAACAATTCTAAGAAGGCTTTCTCACATTTTCATTGGTTTTTGCTGCATTAAATCTGTTGCTAACTCAAATGTAACAGTGAGTTATTCATAGTGCAAATAATGTAAGTATTTACAATATTACATTGTAAATAGAATTTTACAATATTTATATTAATATTTGTGTGTTAGCTTTGAGTGCAGCCTTGTTTTATTTTATGTATTTCATTACAGAGAAAACTTGCCCACAAAGTAGGAAGTTTAACAAAAGTACAGTAGGTAGTTTAACAAAGGTACAGTAGGTAGTTTAACAAAGGTACAGTAGGTAGATAGAAAAAAGCACTTAAACACAGCATCCTAACCCTAACCCTTACTTCAGAATGGGAAGGAAATCCATGGTTATGTTATTATCAGAGAAAGCATCAAACTGACCATGATTCAGTTGAAATGAACGAAACAACGTGATCCATTCTCAACGACTGCAGTGTCTCTGTGTAAAACACAGTCAAATGTCCAAAAATTATCTGCCTTTGTCATCAGTACCAGGCTGAGAGCGTAGGACCAGTCCACACTGCTCTGTCCAACGCACCAGCACCAACAACGGCACCAGCACCAACAAAAGCACCAACACCAACAACAGCACTAACAACAGCACCAACAACAGCACCAACAACAGCACCAGCACCAACAACAGCACCAACACCAACAACAGCACCAACACCAACAACAGCACCAACACCAACAACAGCACTAACAACAGCACCAACAACAGCAGCAGCACCAACAACAGCAGCAGCACCAACAACAGCGCTGATAGTGTCCTCAAAAATGTTGTGATTTTCAACAAAGCACCAACACTAACAACTCTGAAGTTTCGGTACCACCTGATTGAATGTGCGACATCAGTAACATCAGTCTCTTACCAACGGACACAGAAAATTTCACATACGACTTCAATTTGTAGCTAGTTCTCAAATCCTTCCTGCTGCACCTGGACAGGCTGATGTTGGCAAAAGCGTTTCTCAGGACACAGTCTACAGCCTGTAAGAAAGGTTTGGCAAACTCTCCTTCACTGTATGGGTATGTTGTTAGCACTCAGGTAGTGCTGAGCCCAGTCTCCCTCTGAGTCTCCCTTTTTATAGGCGGGGAAAGTGCACACACGGAAAAAGTTCACACGTAGGGAAAGTCCAGAGGCATAAGGATGACTTCATTCAGGAAGAATATATTTGGTCATAGTAGCAAGGAAGTATATAAAGTATATGGAAGTACATATTTGGCCCTTCCATTGTATAAAACTTGACCCAGTTAAATGACCTTTGGCACAGTAAGCCTGACCTTTAACCCAGTTAGCATGTCACATAAATCACATCAAATGTTGTTAAATCACATGACTAACAGTCAGAATCATTGTTTAATGCATTTTTCTTATGTTTCATATACAATTATAAAAGGTTTTTTTGTATTACATCCTCCTTTTGAAACTTAAGAAAGTAAAGTCCATCACCTCGAATCCTTGCGGAGCTTCGTTCTCGTGGCAAGCTTCAGGCTCCGGCAGAGCTCCTGGTTGGTACTCTTCTTCCAGGAGCTTGTTGAACTCCCTGACAAAGTCCTAAGAACCATATGTGGATATGTAATCATAATCAGTGACTCGCACAGGTCTTGGTTCCTCGGGTCCAGGTAGGACCATGGCCTCGGGTGCCGTCACGACCATAGCCTCGGGTTCGGGTAGGGCCACAGCCGCATCGGAGAGGAACACATCATTTTCTATTGGAGCACACCAGGGCGATGGGCTCAGAGATTCAGGGGACGGTGGTGGTGATGGCACCAGACCTTGAAAGTTAAAGTTAAGTTCCTCGTTCAACCTAGGCATTGGCAGGACGACTGAAACTTCTCTTTCAAAGTTGCATGGCCTTCTAGCGGGAGCCTGTCGGTGGACTCTTGGACTTCTAGTAGGGATGGGGCCATGGGAGTCCCCTGACTTCCTAATAGGGATAGTATACGGGGTATACTATGATCAAATGCACGTTGTAGTCTCTGGCCTCACCCTCAGCTGTGGAGAATTCTACAATGTCAATAAGTTTGATGTGACTACCATCTGTGCTGTAAAGGATGGGGCAAAGAAGTACAAATTATCTTCTATCTACTCATTTATTCTATAATGCAATGTACTTTTACAACTACGCCTCTTTACGACAAGATGAAAAAGAACATAAGTAACGTATTTAAACAGACACAAAAGATTCACACAACACTTTTATTATTTCCCAATATAAAATCTAGAGCACACACTCCCTCTCATAAAGTTTGGTCAAATGGCTATCCCTGGTCACACGATGGTTCCAAATTCTCTTTGTTTTCCAAGGACTCAAAGTGTGTGTTGTACATTTTATGTTTGGCTCTGTCTCTTTCATGGGGCTTCAATTTCTTCAAGAGAGGGACCACACTAGCCGCAAAGAGTTCCTCCTCTGATATCCTCTGAGATGATCCGTGATAAATGTTGGATGACTTTGGGGATTTAACCCAGCACCTCATGCATGTGTCATCTAGTTCCATTCCTTCTCTAAGTTACCAGAGCTCAGTGAGCAAGCAAATAAGTACTTGTCAAGAACACAATGAGACAAGTTAAATCTCAATGCTGACAGGATTTGAACCTGTGCGGGGAAACCCCGATGGATTTTGAGTCCATCGCCTAAACCTCTCGGCCACAGCAACAGACTGACATTATTTTGAAGGGAAACGGTCACGCTCCAGTCTCAATGGAGGCTTGGGTTCAAATCCCACCACTGCCAAAATCTTTGCATCAAAGATAAGTCACTACCCAAGCTGGTGAAAATGAAGGAAAATCTATAGAGTATCCAAAGAAACAGAGTTCCCTCTACCACTAAGCTACATCCCCTTTAGGTATGATATTATCACAGTTGGTTATCCAACAACTTGTTTTCAAGATGTGCAATAATAAGATGGAATATTTATTTTGATTAAAAACACCTTGGAGACGATGGGGATTGAACCCAGGAGCTAAATCCCCAATTTAGCAGGCATCTCTAGTCATGGTTTGTGAACCAACTAAAGTTGAATCTTGTTGCTGATGGGATTCGAACCTGTGCGGGGAAACCCCAAAGGACTACAAGTCCATCACCTTAACGTCTCGGCCACAGCAACAGACTGATATTTTCCCGAAGGGAAACGATCAGGCTCAATAGCATAGTGGCCGTAATATTTACTCGAGCTTTACCTGCATACAAATACAGCTCCAAAAGGTAGTGTGGCCGAGAGGTCTAAGGCGCTGGATACAGATTTATTTGAGGCTTTTTCCCTGAATAAGTTTAGTTGAAACGTGTGACTGTTGTTGGACCAATGTTCCCTCTAATTTTTCATGGGTCAAAAAAAACCAAAAACCTCATGAGCGGCACGTGGAACACTCTGAGCGAGAGATCTCTGTTGAAAACCATTCACCTCCTGTACACATTTTTACATATTGCTCCTTCAAAGTAGATTGAGGAATATATTTGGTGAATTGCACTAAAAACAAGAACATATTCAAAGAGGATTTTGTTTATTCATGTTTTAATAGAGACTATTTAGAGTATATTAACACATAGTATACATGGTTTTATTTAGTCATATGGCTTTATAAAATAAGATCCATAGACCAATAATTATCTAAGATAATAATAGTCATATTGCCACAAAACCAACTGTACTCAGCAATAGGAAACTTTGTTTTAAACTGAAGGGGACGCTGGTCTGACCAGACCTGGTCTTCCCTACTTAAGTGCGTGCGGGTTAGGTGTGTTTGTGGCTCCACGCACACACTGCAGCTGGTGTAGTGCACGTGAGACACCACTCGCAAGTCCGCGGCAAGACCAAGTGCGCGAGTTCACGGTGTGCAGGGTGCAGTTGGTCCGAGCCCTGTTCTGGATCAAAAGCAGCTTCAGACTTCTGTGTCGGGCGCTTCTCCCGCACTCGGACAGTGTACCTGATGGTCACAGACAGAGAGCATTCAGATCTGACTTTTTCTATTTAGAGAATGAAGCCTGCGCAGATCCACCGTGATCCATACACTGTTGAAATATGCGCCCGCGTTGTTTGTGCCGGAGGCACAGGACGCTGGATTTTCATTGTGAGCAGGAAAGAGTTGTCTGTGCGCTGACACCCTAAAAGCACTGCGCAACTTAGAGGGAACATTGGTTGGAATGCACTCGGATCGGGTCAGAACATCCTGAGACTGTTGCAGATTCTGCCACGTTCTCATTATTGTCAGTGTGAAAAAGTTACGTGTTGTTCACGTGTGAGTCTGTTGTGTACAAACTACACGATGTTGAGCACTATCCTCTCCTTCCTACTTTATCTTTAGTTTAGTGTTATTAGAATTTTGACTGTAGTATGTTCATTGCTATTCACCCGTTGTCCCATTGTCTGTTCCATGGTACGATGACGGGACATCTGGACCTGGCTCCTCCATCTACACCTGCGGACTGCCCTGCCCGACCGCCTGGGAGTTGTTCAGTCCTGCACTGGACCTGTCCACGTTCAACGGCCGCTGGTCCACGTTCTGTAGCTTAGGTCCTGGAGCTATAGCCCGTCCGTCCGTGGGAGCGGATCCCTTTCTTAAACTATGGATCTCCCCGAGGTTTCTCACTTTTTCCCACTGTGTTTTTCTTATAAGTTTTTCCTTGCCGATGCAGGAGGGTCTGTTGGACAGTTAAGCCTAGTGTATACTTGCGCGGCGAGGCTTACGTTAGCTGTTGCGGTGGACCTACGTAAGCACAATTGATGTTATACTGGCGCGTTCCCCTTACGGAGTTTTTAGGAGAATGTTGTAATCCCACAACAAACCACATGAGGGCGATCACACAGGAGTGGTCCCATTTACGCTGCTACTTTGTACTCTTCAGAACAACAATAACAAACAAAGCTGTTTGAGCTCATTACACGTGTTTCTACTGTAGGTTTATGTGATAGTTTTATGGATTCATTATTTTATAAGTCATTTCAACTGTGATGCTGTGAATAAAAACACAGTTCTTGTTGGAAACATGGTTATTATTAAATAGTTTTCAACACAAACAGCAAAGCATATAGTGGCAAATATCTGAGACAAACATGAACGATTTACGAGTGCAGGATGAAAGCAACAAACGCAGCTACGATTCAAACAAGACAGGAACAGTGCAAAACAAACGACTGCACAGTTTATAAGTTATATATATGTTATATATATGTTAGATAGTCCACAGTCTCCTGTATATCAGGCTCTGAGCCCAAACTGCTTTTCCTTCGAAGCACAAAGCTCTCTGCTCCATAGTGCCTCCTCCATGTTCCTGCTGCAGCCGCTCCGTGCTTCCTTCCAATACACACACACGGACCAATCACAGCGGAGATTCCTTGCGGCGACCCTTACGTAGTTAGAAAATTTCGATGCTGCGCGGCAGGCGACGTAAGGGCCTTGCGGTGACCAACGCGTTGCGCAAGTGACGTCACGTCACCTCCGTAAGCTCCGCGCCGCGCGAGTATAAACTAGGCTTTAGTGTCCAACTAGAAGGACTGTGGTGATGATCCAGGACACTTTAACGTTCTGCAACATGTATGGACAATTTTATATATATATATATTTTTTATATGTGTTCTATATTCTTTTTGTGTTTTAACTGTTGATTTTCTGATCTGTGTTGGTGTTTTCAACGGTTTTGTTAAGTCCTCTGAGATGACTTCTGTTGTGATTTAGGGCTATACAAAAATAAATTGTATTGTTACATTACATTACATTACATTACATTACATTTTCTACCCCTTTATTTTCCATTTCCGGATCGGGGGGCTCTCAATCAGTGCTGCCACCCAAGTCTCTTAGCACCAGTCCCTCGCTGATCCTCCTGCAGGTGGTGGGTCTACGGGAAGATGGCTTCTCCGTCAGCAACGAGATGGCCTTGATCTTTCAGCAGGGGCTTCAGGCAATGTGGGGTTAAGTGTCTTGCCCAGGGACACAACGACAGCAAACATCAGTGTTGTACATATTGTATTGTATTGTATTTATAAGTTCAATTCTAAGCCTATGAATACAATTCAAAAAACATGATGGAGGTAAATATTCTTAAAAAGGTCACATTTGTTATTAACATGTTTTTGCATATGGAGCAGCTGTAAAAATTACACAGGGTGGCTTTAATACATTGTTCAACTCTAGGGTCTAGGTCAATTGAAAGTGAAATAAATGAACTTGGCTCATTAGCGCCCCCTACAGATGGGGTCCATTTTTTTAGTATTGGAGGGGTTCGAGGTCAAGTTTTTTGTAGAGGCATGAAATTTGGTACACATGTTCCTGTAGTCAAGACATGAAATAAAAGTAATTATGGCCAAGCCCCCTGACAAACAGGAAGCCCATAAATTTCACTTCAAAATGGAAGATTGAAAAATGATCCTTTTCACACATGTCGGTTGGAAAGCGACTCCTTCTCGGCCGTTTCACTGATTTGCCTCAAAATTGCTCCACATTATCTCAACACATGTACCGTCAAAATGACTTCAGGGAATTTTGATCAGTGAAACGTTGTTTGAGCAGCCGAGCGGCAAAATGTGGCAAAATGCGGCCGTTTTTGACAACATTCATTTTTTTCCCGTTTGCAAATATAAAGTCTGATTTGCACAAAACTTGAATCCATTATTAAATTCCAGGGTTTAGGTCAGGTGAAAGTGAAATATTTGAAATTGACCCATTAGCGCCCCCTACAGACTGAGGCAAAGTTTACATGGGGAGACAAACCAGCTCTACTTATCATATACATTACAATTTGACTAACATTCTTCTATTGCTACGGGAACAAATCATCACACGGCGGCGCCACCTCCTTTGGGCGGTGCTGCCTGGTA